ACAGAAGGGATGTATTAGTTTTCTTGCATATACTATAGATATGAAGAAAGAAAAGGGAAAGATGGAGGATATCCCAGTCGTAAGGGAATTTCCTGAGGTATTTCCAGAAGATTTGATAAGTCTACCTCCGGATCGAACGATTAAATTCCAAATTGAATTACTTCCTGGAGCAGCACCCGTTGCACGTGCACCATATAGATTAGCTCCTTCTGAGTTAAAGGAGTTAATGTCTCAATTGAAATAATTGTTGGATAAAGGTTTTATCCGACCAAGTACTTCCCCATGGGGTACGCCGGTGCTTTTTGTGAAAAAGAATGATGGATCAATGAGAATGTGCATTGATTACCGAGAGCTGAATAATCTGACAATCAAAAATAAATATCCTCTCCCAAGAATTGATGATTTGTTTGATCAATTGGTTGGGCTACTTATTTTTCAAAAATTGATTTACGGTCCGGTTATCACCAGTTGAAGATATGTCGAAAACAGCATTTCGTACACGTTATGGTCATTATGAATTCCTGGTTATGCCATTTGGACTCACAAATGCGCCTGCAGCCTTTATGGACATGATGAATAGGGTGTGTCGTCCCTATCTTGATAAATTTGTGATCGTTTTCATTGATGATATTCTGATATATTCTCGGTCGAAAGAAGAGCATGCTCATCATTTGAGATTACTCTTGGAATTGCTGAAACAAGAGATATTGTATGCCAAGATGTCAAAGTGTGAATTTTGGCTGCGAGAAGTTCAGTTTTTGGGGCATGTTATCTCAAAAGAAGGCATTAAAGTGGATTCTTTGAAGATTGAAGCCATTGAAAAATGGGAAGCCCCAAAGACTCCAACGGAAATCAGAAGTTTTCTGGGATTAGCTGGGTATTATCGTAAGTTTATACAAGATTTCTCTTGAATAGCTACTCCATTAACAAAGTTGACAAAGAAGAATGTAAAATATGAGTGGGATGAAGCACAAGCTCAGGCCTTTCAGATGTTAAAGGACAAGTTATGCAATGCACCAATTCTATCCTTGCCAGATGGAATGGAAGATTTTGTGGTATATAATGATGCGTCAAAAATGGGTTTAGGTTGTGTACTGTAGCAACGTGGAAAGGTAATAGCTTATGCTTCCAGACAGTTAAAAGATAATGAAAGGCAGTATTCTACTCATGATATGGAATTAGCGGCGGTAATATTCACTTTAAAGATATGAAGGCACTACTCATACGGAACAAAATGTCAAATTTTCACAGATCATAAGAGCTTGCAACATCTGTTCCATCAGAAAGATCTATATGCGTCAGAGAAGATGGTTGAAATTGGTAAGTGATTATGATTGTGAAATTTTGTATCATCCAGGAAAGGCAAACGTAGTGGCCGATGCGTTAAGCCGACAAGAGAATGGAACTATCAAAGCTATAGCTTTACGGGTTGAGTTGTTACCAAGTATTCAAGAAGAGTTACGAGAGTTTCAACATGAGGCCATGAAGGAAGATAAGATTAAACAGGAAAGATTGGGTGGATTAATATATGATCTGGTAAGAGATGACAGAGAATTTTGGAATCTCCAGAATTGAATTTGGGTACCATGCCATGGTGATCTTAGGAAACATATTTTGGGTGAGGCTCATAAATCACGTTTTGAAGCAACACTATTGGTGGCTAGGTATGAAGAAGGATATAGGTAAACATGTTGAGCAATGCCTAACATGTCTTCAGGTAAAGATTGAACACCAACGCCCTTATGGTAAGTTGCAATCTTTAGAAATTCCAGTATGGAAGTGGGATCACATCACTATGGATTTCATAACCAAATTGTTGAGAACATCAAAAGGTTATAATGCTATATGGGTGATAGTAGATCGGTTATCCAAATCTGCACACTTCTTACCTATGAAAGAGTCATATTCAATGGAGAGATTGGCAAAACTATATATTGATGAGGTAGTGACACGTCATGGTGTTCCTCTATCAATCGTTTTTGATAGAGATAGTTGATTCACTTTTATGTTTTGGAAGAACTTCCAAAGAGAGATGGGTTCACAAATTAAGTTAAGTACAGCTTATCATCCTCAGACTGATGGACAAAGTGAACGAACTATCCAAACATTAGAAGATATGCTTAGAGCACGTGTCATTGATTTTGGAGGTCATGGGATAATCATTTGGCTCTGGTGGAATTTGCGTACAACAATAGCTACCATTCAAGTATTCAAGCAGCACCTTTCGAGGTTTTGTTTGAACGAAAATGTCGAACTCCTTTGTGTTGTAATAAAATAGGTGAAAAACAGTTAGTTGGCCTGAGTTAGTTCAGTAAACTGCAGATAAAATTGGAGTAATACGAGAACGAATGAAAGCGGCACAGGATGGACAAAGAAGTTATGCAGATAAACGTCGGAAACCGATTGAATTCCAAGAAGGTGATAGGGTAATGTTAAAGGTATCACCTTGGAAAGGAATAGTACGTTTTGGTAAGAAAGGGAAATTAAGTCCGAGGTATATTAGGCCATTCCTTATCATTGGAAAGGTTGGGGAAGTGGCTTACATATTAGAACTTCCATTAGAGTTAAGTGGGATCCATGACACGTTTCATGTGTCAAATTTAAGGAAGTGTCTAATAAGCCCGGATGTGGCAGTACCGTTACCTGATATTAAGGTGGATGAAAGATTGTGTTTTGAAGAAACCCCTAAACAAATTACTGACTACAAGGTGAAGAAATTACAAAATAAAGAGGTTGGGTTAGTAAAGGTTCAGTGGCGTTATCATAAAGGACCAGACGCCACCTGGGAATCATAATCAGAGATGCGGATAAAATATCCCTACCTTTTTGCTTAAATGGAATTCCGGGACGGAATTCTTTTGAGGAGGGAATGTTGTAATATTCGGGTTTCAAGTTTTGATTTAAGATTTTGGAATATATATATATATATATATATGTGTGTGTATGTGTGTGTGTGTGTGTGTGTTAGGAGTGTGTGTGTGGGTGTATCTTAGTTTAATAAGAATTTTGTTGGGAGAAAGGGAGTCCGCTGAATGCCATCACTCACAGATTCCATTTACTATAAATAGTAAATGAAGTTTTAGAAAGAAAGTTTACACACTCTCTTTATAGTAAGGAAGTCTTTTAAACTTGTCATCCGGATTTGGCTGAAGAGGGAAAATATTCAAAGCTAGGATATTCGGTTTCTAAGGTAAGTGTTAGAAGCTTTGAAGTATCAATTATTTGTATAACAATTTAATCGCTTTTAGATCTGGTTTGTTATTCATCATATATATATTGTGCGGACTTCATCCTAAACCGGACAAGTGGTGTCCGGGATTTACCTTAAAATGGTCGAGTGTTGTCCGGATTATCCCCTAAACCGGACAAGGGGCATCCAGATTTGTCCTAAACCGCCCAAGAGGCAATCGGATTCTCTTTAAATCGTTCGAGTATCACCCGGATATTTTCTTAGACCGGCTAAAGGATGTCCGGATATATCTAAACCGCTCAAGTGTCGACCGAGTTAAACCCTAAACCGCTCAAAACATCAAGTGTTGACCGGATTAGATGTCCGGACAATGCTGTCCGGATTACATCTCCGGATGTTTGTTCGGATTTCATATTCGAAGGATTTTGGTATTTTTGGTATTATTTTCACTATAGGTTTATGAAATGGCGGTGTAACAGCGAAATAGATGAAATGGAGGTGTAACCGCGAGAGAGATGTAATGGCGGTGTAACCGAGAGAGATGTAGTGGCGGTGTAACCGCGAGAGAGATGTAGTGGCGGTGTAACCGCGATAGAGATGTAGTGGCGGTGTTACCACGAGAGAAATGTAATGGCAGTGTAACTACAAGAGGAAAAGATTTTATAACAATTATAGATATAATGTTTATATCTGTACAGGTTTGATTTTAAATTGATAGTTTGGAATACAAGATATTTATATAAGATTTGTACACTCACTAGACCTTCTGGGTCTAACGCTCAATTGTTGGACTAACCTGTTTTGTAGTTCATCATACCTCACATGATAGAGGCAAGGGAAAAGTTTAGAATTAATGAAATTTAGTTGTTCATAAATGTAATGAATAAAGTTTTTTTTGTTCGCCCATATTTTGTAAACAATATTACTTTATGTTTTATGAATATGATTATGTGGATTATCATTTGGTGGAAATTATGGGTTGTTACATAACGGCTTTTTACCGAGTCGAAAATGCACCCCTACTCGTTCATGTCTTTTGTAAATATATTTGTTATACATAAATAATTTAAGATTGAGCCATTGTTTTATTTAAAATTTTAATAACAAATTAATAACTATATTATATTTTGAAATTTTTTAATACAACATCTTCTTATTAGTAAAAATACAATTCGTATTTAAAATGCATTTTTAGAATAAACAAGATAATTAATAGATTTATTTATTGAATTCAAAATATCAACTATTGCAAAGTTCTTAAAGATATTAACTTGAAAAATTATAAAAAATATTAAATATTACATTCTATGATAAAACTCAAAAAACAATATTTTATTTTTTTAATAATTAAATAAAAAATATTAAAATATTTAATATGACTTAGGGGCCGTTTACCAAACATTTACCCGATAAGTGTTTACCGATAAAATTTAACATTATTATTTACTTACCGGGTATGATTTTAATCCATCAAAACGACATTGTATGCAACAATTCACCCCTTACCGTGGTAAGAGTCGTCGTCCTCACTTACCGGGTAAAACTCATGGTTCTTGTCTCGCTCTTACCGGGTAAGATTTTTAGTCCTTACCATATTTATCCGGTGAGGTAATGTGACTTGATAAGCGTTTACCCGGGTAAATGTTTGGTAAACTACCTCTTAATATATCTATACTATATTATAAAGCATTTGACTAAATCTCTTAAAAACAACCTTTTAAGCATATGATACTACCAATTAAAGCCAAATTACTTAAAAAAAACTTCTATTGGTACACTTATTAAAGCCATCCCTAAACCTCAAAACTCTATCCCATCAACGATTTCATGGATCCTATCCCTAAATCGATCCTATCCCTAAACCCAATTCCCTCCCTAAACGATTTCATCGATCCTATCCCTAAACCTAATTCCCTCCCTAAACGATTTCCCTAACCCAATTTGATTTCTTCCCTAACCCAATTCGATTTCATAAACCTAAACGATTTCATCGCCAACGGATTTTGAAGAATACAGATTCTATTTAATCCCTAAATATTCTGAGATGATATCAATTGAGATGATATTGACTCCAATAGAATTTAGAGATGCATATATAATTGACATGTTCTTCAATCCATTAGTGTCAGTCCAGAATCTAGAGGAGGTAATCTATTTCTCTTTTTCCTTTAGCCAACTTCTTTGTTGTTGTTGTTTTCGATTGACGGGTTTCAGGTTCTGTGTATCGGTATGTTTTAGCCTACTTGCTCTTATGATATAATAATGTTTTAGATGTGCGTATCGGTATGTTTTAGCCTATTCATGTATCAGATGCTTATCTATATTCGCAAGTATGTCACTGCAAAATTTGTAGTGCAGTACATATAACCTGTTTACATTATCGGGTTCTCAAAATATTTGTGGTTATCACATAAACCGCAAATAGCTTTGACTAAATAGATACTTGATAGTAGCTTAGTTGGTAATTCGAATTTGAAAAGAGAAAGAATATTTGAATCTACTGTGATTTGTAGTTACTTGTACTTTTAGACCTGTCTGTCTCAGATCATGGACAACTTGTCAACATAGAAACAAAACTTCAGCGTGAGAGCAGAGTTTCACTTCACATTTGTAGGGGGTTGATGAATTAGTGGGTGGGCGATTGAGTTTTCATCCTAGTGTACTCTCATTGGGATGAGGTTTCCAGGGTCTTCATTCAAAAGATCCATTATGAGGATCTGGGATCCTGTGAACCATACCCGTTTGGGCTGATTGATCATGCAGGTCGTGAATGGAGCAGAATGGGAACCTGAGATCTTGCTCGGGGAAGGTAGAGGATTTGTTTTTAGAGCACAAACAACAAGTAGTGTGAAATATGTAATGATGCATGTATGAACGGTGTCAAAACTTGCCTCTTAACCTATGTTTCGGAATTAGCAAAAACTCAAGGTGAGGGGAAAGTAATTAGTTATAAAGTAATGCTATATTCTTCTACCAATTCTCTAAAAAGTCATCCGAAAGGACATTTGGCATAATCATACGGTGCTTAAATTTTTTCATAGTGGGTCATGTGGCGTTTAGATTTCTACCAAGTATCATTAGTCTTATTTATGGGGCAGGCAAGAAGAACTAGGCATATGCAGAAGCCCTAGGCAAAGACAATTGCGCACAATAGGAATAATGTTTTACTGTGCATTGTGTTCAATAATATCAGTGACAGTAATTTTTTGTTAAAAAGCCAAAAACAATGCATAGTTGGCCTTATAGAAAGCTAATTAACCAATAAGTTAAGACAGCCTATTCTGGACATAATGTCAGAACAAGTAAATGACCATAATGTCTTTGAGCTAAAAAAGCTTAAACCTGTATAAATGTATAATGGTTGATGTTCCTTATCAAAATTAGTCTCATAATAAGTAAAACTGGGTGCACCATGCTTATTACTAGGTGAATTTCTCATTACTAGGATGACAACAATCATATTTAGTGTGCTCAATTTCTGTTCATGATCCTTTTGGTAAATCTGGGAAGACTGATATCGGATGTTCTCATATCGTCAATTTGGTCGACAAAATCAGTGGGAAGTCATAATTTCTTCTCTTCATTTTGTAGGTTAGGGTTAGGGAGGCTCATAGAACTTTGATGCTAATATGGTATTTCTATTTGCCTTTGGAGAAGCTGTATTATTTCAGCATAGGCGCAGATAGATTTGTTACTCTAAGAAGTGATGGTGAATTCTTCTTTTGCCATAACTGGAAATTTGTCCATTTCATCATTTATTCAAACGGTTGAATATTCAGCGACTTATTGTTTCATCTGTCTTCATGTAAGGATTTCATTTTTTTCATGGCAGGTTTTCAATGCTTATACTATTTTAATCTAAATGCCATGAAAACTAAGGAGCCGTTTATCTAAACACTTACCTGGTAAGCACTTACCGGTAAAATTCAACACTATCGCTTACTTACCGAGTAAGATTTTATTCACTAAAACGCATCGTATGCAACAATTTATCACGGTAAGCGCTAACCATGGTAAGAGTCCTCGTCCTCACTTACCGGGTAAGACTCGATTCTTGCCTTCGCTCTTACCGGGTAAGATTTTTAGTTCTTGTCATATTCATTCGGTAAAGTAAATGACTTGGTAAGCGCTTACCCGTTGGTAAAACTAAATAGGTGATAATCATGAACCATTCATGGTTCTGGCCTTAAACACAACTGAATGTGAAATTGAGCTGGTTAGATTTTAGAACAGTCTCAAAGCTTATTTCAAGCTTTAGAGCTGGTTAGATTTCAGAACAGGAAAAATCTTTTTGTCTTTCATTTCTCTCATGTTCTTCCATTTATTTTTGTGTTCTCTACTGTTGTTTGTCTTTTCTTTATGATGGTTGCTCTAGGTTGTTTAGAACTTTTTGTTTGCCGAAACCATGGCATAATATTGATCACAGGTTTTATAATTAATTACCAGTCGTTTAGGGTTGTAAGTAGACATGGGGATAAGTCCAGATAGCTAAGTCCATCTACGTCAGGAATAATTTTGTTGCCCTTTTATTACTCTGCCATCTAAGTCCATATTTAAGTCTAATAACCATTCCAATGCTTGATTTCCACTGTTGTGGCTGTGGTTGCAAAATCCAGTATTTAGATCAATACTTCCATTGTTTTGAACCAGCGATCAAGGCAAAAACTTTCAATGTGAGTCACACCATCATAGCTTAATTCATAGTTCTGTCCCTATTGTTTGCATTTGACCATTTTACATCTGCAAAGTTGTCAAGTATGTTTTTACCATGTTGGTGTATCTTTTCTTCTATTGAAGGGTGAAACACAAGACCTATTTATTGCAACAGAAAGATACAAGTTTTTTGTTCTTCAGTGGGAAACGAGGTTTCAACAGCATAATCATATTCTTTTGTTACCAAAGGATTTGTAATGCATCATTTATTGTTGCATCTGGTTTATAGATGGATAGGAAAATGTTTCTGTATTTAGAACTTGTGTACTTTCTATGTTCATTTACTCACCTGGGATGATTTTAGGTAAATAGTGAGTGTGGTTTAGAGCATTAGCATATAGGTCACTAGCATCAACATAACGTCAAGCGAAGTCAAGGATCCAACACTGATGGGTTTACGCTGTAAATAGATATATATAGATCTTGAACTACATGCCATATGTTGTTGTTGATCACTATAGCAAATAAACATTAGCTATTGAAACTTGAAAGTTCAAATGCTCCGGTCTCTTCCCAAAATAACCACACAAACTCATGATTCAAAGTCAAACTAATGTTTCAGAATTGTGATTCACCCCCCGCTGCATCGTGCGGGTACACCACTAAGATATCGTTTTGATGACGACTCTTACATGGGTAAGATTGTAGTACACCACTAGGATACCTGATAAATGAGGATGACGACTCTTACCCGGGTAAGCGCTTACTGGGTAAATTATTGCATAGGATACCGTTTTGATGTACTACAATCTTATCCGATAAAAATAAATTATAATGTTGATTCATACTTGTAAACACTTACCGAATAAATGTCTGGTCTAAAAGATAGGGTGACAAAGTTTAGATGGAAAATCTTGTGGTTTGTATACCATCCATAATTTATTTTTAGAATGATTCATATAGTCATATATTTTGCAGTTCAATCAGGTGGTTAGTTGGAATTTGAAGGAGGGCGTGGTTGGATGCTCTAATCTATGCTATTACAGTGGTCAAAATTTGAAATAGCAGTTAGGACCGTGATTGATATAGCGGTTATGGCAATGGTAAAACGGTGATATAACGGTCAAAGTATTGCGGTTCATGTATTCATTACAATAAAAAAGACGCAATATATATCTTGATATATTCTATTTCGGTGGTTGTGATCTCATCGTTTTGATTAAAGATGGAATAGAAACAAGTTAGTAGAAATGCACCAGAAGTGGATTATGAGTCAAAATAAGAGCTCATCATTATTTCTTATTTGAAGGAAAATGGCTGAAGACTCATGATCAAATGGATTCGATGACATACAGTATTTTATTTCTTATTTGAAGGAAGAAAAAGGAAAACTATGGGCACAAGAAATTGAACATATGTATAGTGCGCCCATGATGAAAGAAGGATGTTGATTATAATGAGTATTTAACACATATTCTAAAACCAAAGCCTGAGATTCTTGTTCATATTTAAAACCAAAGGCTTTGGATTCATCAGCACACCACACAAACATGCCTCCAAGCTTGCCTTGCCTTGCCTTGCCTTTTCAACTCCCTGCAGGCCTTAAAGAATCCATCATTAGGAGGCAAACCTAAGTTACCTTTGCTTATGAAGCTGGCTAGAAGTTGACTTCGTGCATAACTTAAATCTTGTTGATGATTAAAGTGATATATAAACTGTGAAACACTAAGCTTATCGTATGCGTAAAACTGGAAATTCATATAATCTATAACATGTCCATATTTCTTCCATAAAGCCAAGTAATGACTTTGAACAGGTCCGTTGTCTTCGTAGGGAGCGATAGAAGCAAATTTGATGGTTTGGTTTTTCTTTAGAATCGTTATAAGTTGTCCTATACATAGTCGATGTCAATACCATTCAAATTGTATTGCATTTGATATTGGTGGTGTTATACTTTATGGATATACTCCAATCGAAGATTCTCCCAAAGCTTTGATTGTTCCCAGGTGCTGTTGAGGTCTTCGATACTTATCAATATTGGTAAATGTCAAAGGCAATGTGTTATCGACATAAATATTTTTTATTGTACCGAGTATTTATAGTCTTCTACCCCTACCACGTAAAATTTTATAAAACTGTAGATCTTTTAAAAATTCACCATACGGTTCAAGGAATTTCGGGGAACTTTTTGTTTGTTGTTCATCTAACCTGTCTGTATACACAGACATAGTGTAATTAGTTTAAAAAGCTGATGACAATGCAAAACCTAGCAAGTTGAAATTTTTATGCTTAACTCAGATTTGGTGAAATTGCTCGTAGATCATCCAAGTTTGTTCGTGAGAAAGTAACAATATAGGCAACAATGTAATTGTCAATGAGTTGGGCATTCCGCATTGTGGGATTCCTTTCTTGACCATGCTTACCAAAACATGATTCTACTTAAGTTGCAAACTTACCCAAGTTGGTTGTACCACCCACCAATTGTGTCATATAAAATATTAATACTTAGTTATTTTGCATTCAACTTGAATTCAAACTTATAATAATATTACAATTATGTTTTAATCAAGATAATGCTATTTCTAAATAGTAGATGTCTAAATAATTGCGATGTTTGGAAAATCCTATTTGATGAAAGCTCAAACTCTACAAATGCAATTCAGATTGACAAAGCTCATGAGCTATGCGGATGGCTACCCGAGTCAAGCAGAGTGCCAAGAACTGAACATGTGTAAAACCTCTTTGGCTCTTGGTATGTTATGTTTCCAAAATGATGATCGTAACGTTCTAAAAATGAGAGTGAGATAAATGATTAAAGTTGTAACGATTATGCATTTTTATTTTTTCTTCAAAAATAATTTTGATGGCCATTACTTTTTACATATTTATCAAAATACTATTTTATTCCTGATTTGTAAAAAGAAAAAAATTACATCCCGCCGTATTGCACGGGTACATAACTAGTAGATATTTATACTATATTATAAAGCATTTGACAAAAACTCTTAAAAACCATTCTTTATGCATGAAGTACTACTAATTAATGCATAGTACTTAAAATTTAAGATTACAAGTAAATTGTACGTAAGTATAACTTATTAAAGCTTCAATTTTGAATTCGTATAACTAACTGCAGATAAATATAATCAAATACAAGATAAACATCTTATTTTAAATATAAAAAATCTAAAATATAATTAGGATAATCATTAAGTTATAACAGAATCATTATCTTTATAAAAATTATAATCTAAAATAAATTACTTYGCTATTAAATCTAAATTAAATTATGATAAAAAATAGAACTAAAAAAATTGTACAAAAGACGAGAACTTTTAAATTTTAATTTGATATTAATATCAAAATATTTTTCCAAAATTTTATGATATCTTCAAATTTATTTTTATTAAAAGTAAAAAACATTATCTTTCTCAAAACCACATAAACCTTATTGTATCAATAGAGACAAAATAAAATGAAACATTAAAATGAATATGTATCTTGTTGCATTGCACGAGTACCCTTCTAGTACATATATATATATATATATATATATATATATATATATATATATACTAGTTGTTTATCCGCGCAATGCGGCGGGTTGCAAAATTTAACTATAGAAGACAAAAAAAAAATCTTTTTGCATGAATACGAGATCCAGGTAAAAATTCAAGTACTTTTGATAGCAATCTCATTTCATATGGAATATTACGAATGAAAAAAGCTTAAGAAAACAAATGCAGGAAATAAACCATGTCTTCTAGAAATTACATAATGTCATTCATCTTTCTCTTAATCTAACCGGAGTCGAGGATCGAATCCAAGGAGGAATAAAAATTCACTTGTGGCCACAGAGGTTCAATTATGGTGACTCCGGACTATCCGAGAAGCGGGTGGTCGCCCAAGATTAGTCGGCTCACATAATGAGTTTGATATCCAGTTTAGTAAAAAAAACTCTCTTAATCTTTCATCAGCCTCACACTTCTTGATATTCGGAGAATACTTTTCTATTAAGCAAACTTTCATAAAATAATCATTTGACTAAGAGGCTGTTTACCAAATGCTCATCTGGGTAAGCGTTTACCAAGTCGTATTACCTCACTCAATGAATATGGAAAGGACCAAGAATCTTACTCGGTAAGTGCAAAAGCAAGGACCGATAATCTTACCTAGCAAGTGAGGGCGACGACACTTACCACGGTTGTGCATAGGATACTGATAAGTTAGTGATAGTGTTGAATTTCATGGTAAGTGTTTATCCGGGTAAGCATTTGGTAAACGGCCTCTAAATATTTTTCGTACTAAACATTTTTCACACAAACCATACAAATCAACCAATTAGATCAGGCAAAGGATTAAATAATTCAACAAAATTTGTTCAATGCAAATGTTGAAAGGTAAAAGATATCTTAATTAAACAACTTGCTTAGATAAAAGATAAAATAAGTTCAATTGTCAATGATTATAAATTATAAATGCGATTTTATTTTTATGAATTTGTTTACTTTTGAATGAATAATAGAGTTCTTTTTGTTAGTTATCAGTTTTATGCATTATTTTGCTCAGCATTTGTCTTCAATTTGAACATGTTTTATCAATTGGTTACGAGTTTGTTTTACAAATTTCAAACCTTTTCTTAACGGATAAATTTCAAACGTATTAAAATAATTACATAGAAATATACTCGCTTGCAAATATATTCAAGATTGAAATTTTCCAAACCTGGTTAGAAAAGCTGAAAAATATATAACTTTAATAGAAGTAGACACAATCCAATCCTCATTGGAAAGACAATAAACAACCACATTGTTCATAAACCAAACAAACACTTTATATGCTCTTCACATGTAGCAAGTTTTTCATGGAAAAATAAAAATTGCATGATTTGCTGCTATCTTACCATAAGATGAGGTATGTAATCCAGAAGCATAACAAAAAACACTCACCCAATCTCCTCATCTGAATCAAAAAATTGTTCTAATTCTAATGCTATTATCATATCATATATTACAATTATTAATTTAACCTTCAAGATAAGCAATGTATACATACACATGCATTCATTCATCTCCTGCAATGAAATTTGGCACCTCACCCTCACACAGATACTCATCACATCTTGATGTTGTTCCCCACCCTCTGCGTAACCGAAGAATGTCCTCCTTGAAGGTCGATTCCAGAGCCCTAATGAACACGCCAGATAATGCAGAAATGGTCTTATCAAGCATTGCCTCCACCTTCGACATCAAACATAAATCAATATTTCAACACTAAACTATTCTTCGAATCATATTGTCATCTATGAGGAAACATATAGAGCATTGGAGCAGGTTTCAAAAGACTGATTTTCGAAAGTGAAACAAATATATATTATGATTTAGTAGAAACACTAAGGGGCCGTTTACCAAAACGACATCGTATGCAACACTATTATTTACTTATCGTATGCAAGTGCTTACCAATAAAATTTAACACTATTATTTACTTATCGAGTAAGATTTTAGTCCACCAAAACGATATCGTATGCAACAATTTACTCGGTAAGCTCTTACCGTGGTAAGAGTCGTCGCCCTCACTTACCAGGTAAGACTCATGATCCTTGTCTCGCTCTTACTGGGTAAGATTCTTGGTCATTACCATATTCATCCAGTAAGGTAACGCGACTTGGTAAGCGCTTTCCCGGGTAAGTGTTTGGTAAACGGCCCCTGAGATAAAGTGTGGTCGTTTACAGATAAACAACATAAAGATAAAGGGGCTGATAAACTGACCTGAGGATCCCCATCAAGTTTTTTTCTATACAATAATGCATCCCACTTTTCAGCTGAATTACGAGTCGTCCGTGTAATGAGTGGCACAGTCTTCCCATTCAGCATAACAAGGGATTGCAATAAACCAGTTTCACTTTCTGCAGCATTCGTAGAAAGATATATCGCTGGCATATTGGCTCTTTCAACCAGACGGGTAATACATTCTGCAGCTTGAGGAATTGGGAAGAAGCAGCTTGGATTCTTGGCTTTGCTGAAAAAATATATGTGAAGGTAGTTATACAAAATTCATGAAAAATTATCTTGTTTTCTGATAGTAAGCACAAAAAATTCTTAGGAATCAAGATACTCCTGTCTTTCATCTTCAATTAGCACCCTTAAGCTCTAAAAGTTTCACCCCTCCAATTTCCATCATGGTTCAAAGCATAATGGTCCAAACAAGTTTTGGAATTCTTTTCAATATGCAGTAGATTAATTTACTTTACATTTGTACAGTACCATACTATCCATAATAATTAAAGCTAAGGGCATTGTCAGCATCATGCAGAGTGTGTTCACACTTCAAAGAATAAACTCTAAAAGGTTTTTCTTTCTATTATAATAGTGCTTGTGCATGCACATATTGTGTTATCAGTGATCTTTTTAATAAATACTGTCACGAAGGTTGATTCATGAACTACCAAATGCACAACTAAAAATGACAACGACCTGCATCCAACAACATTTCCATATTGTAAACTGTCAATCAAATGGATCCTAGCAAGGTAATCAAAGAGAGCACAACCATACAACATAATGAATAACAAATAGTACAGAGACCTCCATAATTCTCCATCTATAACTATACATGACTTATACATATATATATATATATATATATATACAACCTATCAAAACCACACAACTGAACAACCCCTTAAACTATTTCTCCTTTATATATAGTTATTCGATTTGATTCTTATATGATACACAAAAAACCAAATTAACAAAAATTACTCTCTGAATCAAAAGTTCAAAAGAAGAGTTATTTATGGTCATACCCCTCATCCAATGTTCCCAGAAGCTATTGTATTTATGTAATTCTCCATCCTGGATTCTGTAAGAGACAATGCAGATCTAAGAGAATCATATAAACATTAATCCACAACAAGATCTTTAATTTTGTCCAATTTTTAATCAAACCAACTACCATGTATACATAATTAAGTTGCTTGGATATCAACATTACTAATTGTATGTGAAGGGAAAGAGACAAACAACACCAATATAATCAGAAATCATTAATTTCCCTTCATACCACATATTTAATTAAGATGTAGACATGATATTAAATGGCTTACACATTATGAATAATTAATTCATATTTCAGCTACCTTAGGGTTCTCTTGTCGCCAACTGTCTTTACTGCAACTTTTTTAAGTGCATTTAGATAAGGAATTGTTGCTTCCACAAGCTTGCATCAGGACCTACTCATTAGAAAAATATTTCGCCATCAATATTCATTAATTTACACAACCCGAATGCAACGTAAGAGGTGGAAATGGACCAAGCATCGAAAGAATTGGAAACGACATAGAGGCCCATGTATTTAAAACACTGAAAGCATTACAACATCTTAATATCTGGTAACAATCAATAACACAAATTTAAGAAATTACATCCAAATGGCTTACTACGATCTGTTGGTCCCGTAAGGGTCTACAAGAATAGAAACAGTTTGTAGAAGAGGGGGGTGAATACAAACACAATATTTTCAAATTTAAAATATATATTGATAGAGAAGATCAGTACAGATTTTACAAGACTGTTTGCGGAAAGATAAGGTAATGAAAACCTATCTAAACAATCTTTGGTTACACACAGAGTTTTAGCAAATACAAGAAAAGAGATTGCTAAAAAGAAAGATCTTTTACTTAAGCTAGAAGATGCTTGAAGTAAGAATAAGGTTAGAGAGAGATGCGCGCTCTCTACCTGGAGAAGAAACACTTCTATTTATACCCAGTGCATTAAATGATCATTTAATGCAATATGGTAGGTTTATAGTGCGTGTCAAACCTTAAGAGGAAGGCTTGTCCTTTGCTACAATGAATAGTACAAAAGCACTATTTCTAAGCAGACATCCTCACCTAAAGTTGATGGACAAAGAGTCGACTAATCGGCTCCGTACCGTACTAACTTTTGTAAGGGTATGGGTTTGTCCTTTGTGTGCATAAGGACAAAACAACAACAATCGTGCTAAGCAAGCTTCCTTTGATCGCTGAATGTTGGAATGACCTGGAGGTCTCATCATCATTCGCTGAAGCTAGAGCAGTCTTTACACATGTATAGACAGGTTTGTAATCACTGAATACCGCTTTAGATCACGTACTCGCCGGTCTCTAATCTTCAGTTTCAGTCTTCGACGTTTGCTGAAGGTTCTTTGGTGTGAGTGTTGTCTTCTTGAAGTATTGTTGTCTCTGATAGATTTACAATGCAAGTTCTTCAGCGATCACTGAACATACTCAGTGAAGATCGCTGCAACTGAAAATACAGAAACACAAATACAACGTGAAAGATAAAAGGGATTATCATCAAATCACTGAGAGAGAGGATCAACAATCTCCCCCTATTTGATGATAAGAAGATAACATAAAGAATGTTATCTTATCAAATAATAGTAAGGAAAAGTTACATATAGCGTACATGTCCCTTTTTACTATTTTGGGATCTTTTTCAGTTTGGTCAGTCTCAGCTTGAGATGGGGGGAGTTGGGTGGTAAAAACACTCGAACACCTAAAAACCTTTGAAAACCTCTGAAAAGTTTACCATGTTTAAAGACAAAGGTAAATTAATTGAGGAAACTCAATCAGATTCATCAGCTTGTGATGAAGAAAATGTTTTCAAAAACGATGAAAATCTTGTCGTTAGTGAAAATGAAGCTGGTTTTTCAGCAGATCTAATGGTCCACCAGGATATGTTAGATAAAATTAATAAAATAAATTTAAACCTGGATAAAACCAAGGTTTTTAAAATTCAGAGCTCTTTGTCAAAAGCAGTTCAAAAGGCGTTTAGACGCAAAAATGAAATTTTCTACTGTATCTCTACAAAAGAAATTTCTATAGACATCGCTGATGTCTCCGGACAAGTTTACTTACCTCTCATCACAAGATCAGAGATAAGGCAAAAGCTTGAAAAAATTCCTATTGATATTAGGAAAAAGATCACTTTTGCACATATTGGTGCAATCAAAATTCTGATCAAGGCGCAGTTTAGAAATGGGATTGACAGCCCTATCAAGATGGCGTTGGTTGACAACAGAATTAACAACCGCAAGGACAGCCTCCTAGGCGCAGCACAAGGTAACTTGGCTTACGGTAAATTTATGTTTACTGTTTATCCCAAATTCGGAGTTGATCTGAAAACAAAGAATTTAAATCAAATCCTCAGCTTTGTTCATAAGTTTGACAGAAGTGATTTAATGGATAAAGGAGATATGGCTTTTTCCATAACATATCTCGTGGGTTATGCCCTAACAAATAGTCATCATTCCATTGACTATAGAAATAGTTCAACAATCGAGATTGATGACTTATTTCAAGAAATTGGATCTGTCCAAGAAAATCACTTTTGTGAAATAAAAAATGAAAACACTGATTGGATGATTAATATCTCCAAAGAGAAAAATCAGTTTGGTGATTCTTCCACCATCAAGATCAAAGAAAATCAGGATTTAGTTGATAAACCCAGATCTTCTACAACCAGAGAAATGGTTAGAAATATTTCTCAAAGAATTGACTCTATGACCACTATCCTAAAGGATTTGACCGGTCAATGAATTTTATAGAGTTAAAAGAAAGGCTTGTTGAACTTTCCACCCAGATGGATAAGTTGACAACTCAAGTCGAAGAACTCATAAAAATGAGTAACCTATGTGTCTCCGAAATAGAGATGGCATCGGCAAAAACAATCACTGAGATTTCCAGCGGTATCTCGAAGATTGAATCTTGTTCTTGTAACAAGAAATCAGGTAAATACAAAGGCCTGAAATATTATTCCCCTCCAAATGTTCCAGAAACAATTGGGAATAAAGATTTAATTATCAAAGGAGAAAGTAGTTCTCAGCTTTCTCAGCTTATAAATTGGCCGACTAAATAATGAAGCCAATATTTGAGCATCTGGAAGATTTCTTCTGGAAACATAATGATCTTTGCGATCAGAAATTCATAAGTCTTATCACCTTGGATAATGATGCTTGTGAAGAGAAATATCGTAATCAGCCTGAGCTTTTTAGCGATTATCTTCTCAATATCACGGAGGTTCTCGAAGAACCCGACACCGAATCAGAAATTAGTTTTTCTGACTTGGAAACTGATCAGAACTTAGATTCTGAAAGAAAAAATTTACGAACTGTTAAATTTGAAGATATGTCTGAAGACGAAGACTCAAATCATGCAGAAACTTCAGCTGCTGCTAGCAAAAGAAAGAGGCCAACGAAATTCCGTATGCCTATGCATAAAGGTATTCCTAACAGTAGAAATACCTCTATACCTATTAACATCTTGAATTTAGATTGCGTTGCTGATCTAGAAGAAAGAGAAGAAATCATCAAAAGATGGTCGACTGAAATTTCATTAATCATCCAGACTAATCCGGAAGATTTTGAAACAACAAAAGCCGTTTTAACGCTTGTGGAACATAAAACCTGTGGTAATGTTCAAAAACACATAAAAATGGTAGACTGGAAAGAAGACCTTCATGGTCTAGATTTCTTCAGAGCAATTATTAATGTTTTCTATACCGTTTTTCTTGGTAAAGATTACCTAAATAATGAGCTCATTGAAATTGGCAAGAAAGCAGAAAAAGCTAGAGGCATTTTAACAAAGCTTCAACTTTTTGATATCTGTCTTCTTGACAAATTTACTTGTTTATACGAGAAATATCTGTTTGAAATTCCTTTCATTGCAGAACACAGTTCATGGGTAGTTTCTTACCTCATGAAAATTCCTATCATTGGTGACCAATGTTTGGAAAGATGGCGAATAGAAGCCACAAACGACGTAACTAAAGCAAGTCTTGCTTTAGCAACTCGTATTGCAAAGGAAGAAATTACAAAAATATGTCTTGAAAGATATAAACAACGTAAGCTTAAGGATTTAAGCTATAATTGTTGCAAAACCGTTGGAGATATGCAAAATCTCAGCATCGGTAAAACACCTTCTGATTTTAAGAAAAAATCTTTAAAAAAGAATGGTTTTAAAACTTCTTGGAAAAAGAAAAAGAAAAATTTTTCTCCAGGAAAATATTTTAGAAAATCTGATTCTAAAAACTCAGATAAAAAACCCCTTGACAAAAATTGTCCACAGGGAAAGAAAAATTGCAGATGTTGGATTTGCAGTGAAGAAGGGCATTATGCTAATGAATGTCCCAGTAGAAAAGAATATCCCGAGAAACTCAGGATATTAAGAACAGCCAGTTTTGATGGCTATGAACCACTTGAAGAGTCTTATGACGGAAAACAAAAGGTTCACAAAATAACATTTCTTCCAGAAAATACTATGGAAGAAAATGAAACATCATCTGATGATTCAGATACATAATAGTTCATTCGAATTATTAAAAGGTTTATTTCCTAAACCATTACAAGTTTTTACAAGAATTAACATGCAGGTTCTGCAGATCTTCTTGCTAAAACCGATGATGATGTCATCTTATGACATCACCAAGCTCCTCACGAGCCCTATAAATGACGAAGATCCTCACGACTTCTTCATCAACAAACTTCACCTACAAAAAGAGAGGGGGAGGTTAGAGAAATAGTTTTTACAAGAAATTGTAAAAATGGAAGACCTCAATTCATTGAGGATGAAAAAACAAATGCTCCTCATAGAGCTATCTGCAGTCGAGCAGAAACTAAGTCTGTATTCATCTACAGCACCAACGGTAACCAATATACCGGAAGACGCAAGTCTAAAAAATATGGCTAGTCCAGGGCAAACGGCAACTGGTAAAGACTCAACAAATCCGTTGAAAGCTGATGCTTTGCTCAAAAGCATTAAAAAGGATAATACTATTCCTAACCCCATTCTGGGTAAACATAGTAGATTAGCTTAYACTAATCCCTCAGTTGAAGGAATCAACAACCAGACAACTTTGTCTACTAACAAATCTGTGCAGGACCTGGCATCAGAATTCATGGGAGTTCCTCTTAGCAACTCTCCAATAAGATTTTATGTGATCTATCAAGGACCACATAAAGGCATTTATACTAATTGGGGCATTGTTGAATTCTCTGCAAAGAAGGAAGAACGACCTCCAAAAGGTTCAGAACAAGGGCAGCCGCTAGTTGCAGTCTCGCCTTTTATGAAGAAGGATTATCACCTTCCTCAGAAGAAACTCTTCCCAAACCTAATGAATTAGAAGCCGGAGAAGAACACTTCAACCAAAGGTTTTCCAAACCAATGGTTCTTACTAAAGAAGAAAGTCAGCCTCTGACCCTTCAAGACTTCAAAGATATCTGGAACAAAGCAAGAGCAGCGTGCCCAGAAAACTTCATATCCGAGAAATTCTATACCACGGATAGAGAAATGAAAAGTCTGTACAACTTTGTTAAAGGAGCAGACGCTACACTAATCTATCTAGCGTTCAAAGCTGGATTGGTTCAAAACATCTATCCGAGCAACAATCTGCAAGAACTCCAGCAGTTTCCTCGACAAATGGTAGAAACTATTAAGAACTTTAGAAGAAAAGTTCTTAAAGCAAAGGATGAACCTTTGTACATTAATGTTGTTAGTTCTATCCCAGACTGGCAACAAGCATCAAGGCATCATCCCTATTACTTCATTGAAATAGGACTTGCCAAACTAAAGAGAGAAATGGAGCTCTCTCAGCCAATGGAAGACAGCAAAAACCTTCCATTCACAGAAATTCTGCAACAAATTCGCGCTGACGGATTAAGAAGAATTGCTGAAAAACTTCTTGAGGTCTCTGGACAAAAGAAGAAGATTAATTATGCTAATCAAAATTGCATAATTACCAGTTGGGGTCTTTACGATACCAACGAAGAAGACAGGATGAAGCTCTCCAGCTTTGGAGAACAGTTCGTGTTAAACAGTATCGACGCAAGTATCGATACACGACAAATATTCTGCAAACAGTCTAAACAACTGTTCAAAGAGCATTATTGCAACCACTGTGAAAGCACGGGCAATAATACAGAAAAGGCGAATATGTCAGAAGAAAAAATAGCAGACTAGCACTGCTTTTTTCAGCATCTTCAGCATTATTGCCGAAAAAAGAATCTCTTTTGGAGAAAAATGATGATAAAGACAATTCAACGTCATATCATGGGGACCACCACCTATCAAGCGGGACCCAGCAGGGACCCACACCCCACTATCTCAATTATTGTTACAGTAGAATTCATTCTATAAATAACGATGTAAGAGATCAGTGTAGGACATCGCTTCCACACACCCCTTCCTGGACATCGCTTCCAGTGATCCTTCTATCCTTTCTTTCCTTTCAAGAATTCTCTCTTAGAGAGAAATATGTATAGTAGCGAGTAGAACTCCCTACGGGGAGATGTAAGATATTGAGGAAGTCCTCGTTTGAGGGCTTACCTAATGAAATAAAGAGAGTATTATGTAGTTATACCCTATCTTTTTACATTCAGTCGATATGTTTGAAGAAGAGTGACAGAGCAGGTCGGTCAGAACGATTGCTGAGTACCGCTAGGCAGGGGCCGTTTAGGGAAAGGAATCAGACCATCACCAGCAGGCTGGCGTTTTTCAGATCTATCAACCGTAAGAAGCAAAGGTATTAACTACATGGACTTCTCGTTTATCTCGTTAAGTAAGTTTTTCCTTTTTATTCTACATCTTCTTGTTCTACCAATCTATACAAAAATCTATCTTTTTGAAAAAGATAAATTATAAAAACTTTTATTTTTATAAAAGAAAAAAAAAATTGATGTCTTTTAACATCAAAAATTGGAATCGTGAGATTCTAGAAGAAATTCAGGAACTCGAGATTCATCTCGAAACTGAAAAATCAAATTTACAAAAAGTAAATAAACAAATTAAAGAGTATTCTTTCAATCCTCTTTATGAAGATCTTTCAAGATCTGATCTTTTAGGTCGAAAAAACTTTGTAGTTAATTCTATAAAGAATTTAAATTATGAAGTCTCAAAACTTCGTAAAAACATTATACACTGCGTATAATTAGTTTATAACAAATTCTATTTGTTAAAAACAAGAAAAAAGAACGTACTTTTCAAAGTATTTTCTAAAAATGCTATCTTTTTGCATAGCAAAATCAGGACCGGGCCTTCATGCTCCCGTTGTCCAAGAAAGCAGACTCCATTCGGAGTTTGTGATTGTTCTTAACCCGGATTCCGCTCTTAGGGTTACTAACAACGAAAAACGTCCCTTTAGGGTATTCACTGACTTATAGACTGTTAGTGAATGGAAAAAGTAACATCGAAACTCATAGACTTGTGTCCCTATTACTTTTTTCAGGGATCTTTTTCAGTGAAGTACATGGAATACTCATTTTATTAATCATAGGAAATATTACAAGTATTACAGTACATGTCCAAATCTTACATAATATAAGTATAATCACTGAAAGGAGATATAGTACATGAAGTTACAAGGAAAAGTGGGTTGTTGTTACAAAGAGAACCTTATTCTAGAACACTTAGATCTATGTAATCAGGTACATTTTCACCAAGGTTTCTTCGACGTAGGAATTCCCTTCGTATCTTCAGATCGACGACTCTTTCAGGCATGCTATTATCTATCCAGAGCAAAAGATAAATCAAGTGATCCATTGGA